CCGGTCACGAGTGGTGTCCCCCAGGGCTCGGTTTTGGGGCCACTCCTGTTTAACAACTTTATTGATGATCTAGACGAGGGGATCGAGTGCACCCTCAGTCAGTTTGGAGCTGACACCCAGTTGGGTGGGAGTGTTGATCTGCTCGAGGGTAGGGAGGCTCTGCAGAGAGACCTGGACAGGCTGGAGCCATGGGCTGAGGCCAACTGGGGGAGTTTCCATAAGGCCAAATGCCGGGGGCTGCCCTTGGGCCACAACAACCCCCAGCAGCGCTACAGGACTGGGGAGGAGTGGCTGGAGAGCTGCCAGTCAGAGAGGGACCTGGGGGGTTGATTGACAGCCGCCTGAACAGGAGCCAGCAGTGTGCCCAGGGGGCCAAGAAGGCCAATGGCATCCTGGCTTGTGTCAGCAGTAGCGTGGCCAGCAGGGACAGGGAAGGGATCTGACCCCTGGACTCGGCACTGGTGAGGCCGCCCCTCGATTCCTGTGTTCAGTTTTGGGCCCCTCACTACAAAAAGGACATTGAATGACTCGAGCGTGTCCAGAGAAGGGCAACGGAGCTGGTGCAGGGTCTGGAGCACAGGTCGTACGGGGAGCGGCTGAGGGAACTGGGGGTGTTTAGTCTGGAGAAGAGGAGGCTGAGGGGAGACCTCATCGCCCTCTACAGCTCCCTGAAAGGAGGGTGCAGAGAGCTCTGATGAGTCTCTTTAACCAAGTAATCAGCAACAGGTAAGGACAAAGGTAATATCCTCAAGTTTTGCAAGAGAAAGTTTATACTAGATATTAGGAAGCATTTCTTTACAGAAGGGGTTGTTAGGCTTTGGAATGGGCTGCCCAGGGAGGTGGTGGAGTCCCCATCCCTGGAGATGTTTAAGAGTCGGGTTGACATAGCGCTGAGGGATCTGGTGTAGTTGGGAACTGTTAATGTTGGGTTGATGGTTGGACTGGATGATCTTCAAGGTCTTTTCCAACCTTAAACATTCTGTGATTCTGAGTCCACTCCTCAGTACCATGCTGCAGTACTACCTTTTAATTCGCTGCTGTTTTAATTCACATTTGCTGCTGGCCCTGGCTGCAGGCATCAAAAAACCACAAGCCTTCATAAACAGCAATTAAGTTTGCAGCTGCTCTGGGAGTTAGGAGATTCAACAATGACACATTGCATTAAACAGAACTGCAGCCAGTGGGAGTAAAAGCATCTTATTACTATTACTGTTATTGTAGGATCTAGCAGATCTAATCACAGACCAGGATCTCATCACAGTAGGCACTATACAAACCATGAAAATGATGGGCCTGCCCATAGTAGGCTATAATCTAATTATAAGACAAGGACCAGTCAACAGATTGAAGGTGCTACTGACCAACACATCTGAGACCAGCCTCTTAAGAGATGTAATTAAATAGAAACTTTCTAGAAAATAAGTAGAACCTTCCTGTGGCAATGAAGGAGCTCAAAACTCTAAGAAGGAAGAAGTGTCTCCTTCCTGTTAACACAGCATAAATTTTAAGGGGAAAACATCTCAGTTTAATTTAGCAAGAGGATTATTTCTGTAACAGGAGAAGAAGATCCCCTGAATCAGGTACAGAAAAGGTCTTGGGAGACACACCGTACCACTACTGCTGCTAAAAGAGGAAAGAAAATATTGCCTTCTCCCCTCTGAAACAAACAGAATTGTGTACTTTTTCACTCAGTTATGAAGGCGATTTATATGATGTTTCTATGGCTTTGAATGTCCCTTTTTGGGGAGAGGGAGAGAAGTGATCTGGCCCACTCCTTCATGCACAGAACAGACAAATAAAACCAAATGAGCCTCTGCTGTTAGCTGTCATCAAGAATTTCATTTTAGCTCAAGAGAACAAAATACTGTCAGCAAAGATTTTCCTGTCAGTTCCCAGGCTGCTGACTGTCACAAGAGATTATCAACAACTGGAGTCTCCATCACAGAGAATGGGGGTTCACCAGAAATTGTATTAATCAGTGACATAAACTTCTTTCCAAATCTGCCCAAGGAGACACATGTGGATATTGCCCATAGAAAGGACATTCTGGACATCTCATGGCACTAATACTCTTTATTTCTTTTGTGTCATGTTAGTTCATTTAATTTTCTCTGCTTTAATGTTGTAAGATTAAGGGTGAGGGAGCCAACCTATGGTTTATGGGCTACACCGACAATATTGCCTGAATAATTCATTCAGCTTGCAGCCTATCAGCTACCAGACTCTTTCCCCAGGGTCCTTCAGCTGCAGGCAGAAAGCAGACCACAAGTCTGAATAAATTATTCTCATAGCCCAGCACTTTCTTCTGTGGTCTCCATTGTTATGATCAAAATTAAACCCAATTCTGACTGTAAAACCCAACACCCATGAACAATTCCATCTCATGGCTGCTACAAGTCCATTGCATGAAAGGACACAAACACTTTTTGGTGGTGGCAGGGCAGACATAGCCACTGAAGTAATAGAGCAGGAGTGGATCACCCTTTGCCCACAAGTGACATGGTTACAGAGTAGAGAAGCAGCACAACAGTACAGTGAAAATTTAAGTATAATCTGTAGCATTTGCAAGTGGATATGGTTACTTCAAATTTAGAAATTAGTATTTTAATATTAGCATGCCTGTTCATATCAAAAAGTCACAAGAAGATGAACAGAAATGTGAAATATAATATTTGAACACTGCTAGATTGTGTAGACTTTACTTCCTGTTTGAAAAATGTCATAAAAATCAGTACTTTCCTGGGAAACATTTAAATTTTTATAAAATCACCTTTTTGATAGAAACCAGTTGTGTTAAAATTGTTTCATCCAGTTCATTGTTATATTGTTATATTTTTATATTGTTATTGTTATATTTTTAGCTATAAGTTAAGCATTTTAAAGGCAGGCATAAGATACAACCATTTCCTAGAAGACTTAAAGTCCAGGTAGACAATATAAATAGAAAGGGCAGAAATGTCAAAAAAAAAGCACGATTATATAAGAGGCATCTACTTTTTAGCTTTAGCGATTTAGTAAGGGGTGAGAAAACTGGGAAATCCTCTCAGAAATTATGGATCAATCCCAGAACTGATGAAGTGTGAAAGCCAGTTGCATGAAAGGATTTGATAGGAAGGTGTTAAAAGATGTGGCTAAATGGCAGAAGATGTGGGGGCAGGTTTGTGAGGGCAGCTTTGGGCAGCATGATGCAGGCAAAGAAAGGAAACAAAGGAGCTAAAGTGGGAGTTGGGCTAAGGACCCTGCTTTGTTAGGGGCCCTGGTCATGGCCATGAGTATTGCTTCAAATTAAGCCAGTAGAGGGGCTGCAGATGATCCCAGGAGTGAGCAAGGAAGATGCTTTTGAAGGAGGGAAAAAATTCTTCAGCCACATAAATCCACCCAAAAAGGAGGCATGACATAGAAATAAAAATATAATCTAGATGTAAACAACTAGTTTCTTAGTGGGCATGGAAGAGAAACCTTCTAAGTAGAGGCTGATAAGCTTGCAGAATACAACTACTTATTGACGTCTAGGCAAACAACCAGCCACAGTTCTTAAAGTTAAAACAAAAAATATGGATGGAGTTTTTTAATAACCACCCACTGAAACAAACACATTTACCTAATGACCTAAAACCAAGAAAATATCCCAGTTACCCACCACAACCAAAGCAATGTTTGTGAATTTTCTGACAGCCCATTTCATATTACCAAAAGGAACCTCACCTGCAGTAAACTTTCTTAGCTGATCTTTGCTTCTTACTGGTCCATAGGCTTTTAAAACTTTTCAGTTTCCACTATGTTATCCAGTAGATACTTATAATAAAGCTACGTGATTTTCTATATAAAACTATGTCTAAGGTGAATTTTTAAAAACATGTATGATGTTATTATATTTTCAAGGACTAATAGCAAAATCTTTGTGGTACATTCATCTGATATATCTACTTGTTAACCAAGACAGTTCACTGGCTGTACTTTTACAAGTCAGAGAATCAATTCAAGTCATTATCACTAGTTTTAAATTCAAGGGTGTAGTGTGTTTGAAAAATGAATGTGTTTTATTCATGTACTAGTCTGCTAAACCAGCAAAGCTATCAGTATTGGTGAAAGCCTAAATCACAGTAGTAAACCGGAAGATTTGTATTCATTGGGGAATATCTTCATCAATTTTTATATTACATAAAACTGGAAAGTCTTCAACAAACTGTAGTATACTAGAAACCAAAAATCAAACCTGAAGAGAAACTTCACAACTATATTCAAAAAATCTAGAATAAATTTATAGAGAAAACTAAAAGAATTGGATACATATAAATCAGGAGTTCACTTCCTAGGTGTATCAATATGCCCCTGCCTCAGTAATTATTTCTAAATGCAAAACTTTGTACATAAAGAATAGATTTTCAAAGAAGAGAACAGAAGACACTGCATAGAAATGGTAGTTCCAACATCTGGCAAAAGAAAACATTAAGTTGAAACCATTGTGGAAAGTAGCATGATTTAATAGCTGTTTAACATCCATACCCTCAAGAGACTGATGGATAGAAACCTATGGCAAAACATCCACTGACTTGGTCAGGAAATTCATATTGCTCCTTGTCTCAGCTCCTCATGTGTGCTGAGCACAGCCTACCACTCTGAAGCTCTTAAGACCACAAAGAGGTTTGTAGCTAAGTTATACATGTGTTTTCTACATAAATCAATTAAGAGACATTATACTGGATAGAAAACTTCAGGCAAATGTCAGTCAAGCATTACTGAATTATGAAAATACACAGTAGCAGGGCAGAAGGAATAGTTGCCTATATCAAATTGGTATCTTATTAGAAAAGGACACTCAAAAGAACTTGCAGACGTGATTTTAAATTGCATGAATTTATAATGCTTCTTTCCCTTCAAAACATAACTCCAGAAGTCCTCTTGAACTACTCAGGAGCAAGACAGATTAGACTCACCAGGTAGTGAACTCTTGCTTATAATTCATTGTGGTGAAATTCTGGACCTGTTTTGTATTACAGCTTATACTGGAACAAAGCTGCTGGAGTGCAGACATTGCTTCTGGCAGTCACTGATACAGCAAGTCAGGCTGGGTCACTCCAAAGGTCCAACAGCACACCTGTCAGCAAGGGCTGGCTGCAGGAGAAAAAACCCTTCGAACACCAGCTCAGTCCCTGGATATATTTTTCCTCCCTTTTTACAAAATTAATTATTTTGAGGACATCCACTCAGATTACCTAAAAGACTGTGCCTACAACGTAGCTGGCTTGCCACACTCACACATCTGCATGTAAACATTAAAACAAGAGTAAGTTCTTTGAAAGAGAAAAATTTTACGTGATCATTTACCCATTATAAAAAAAAATACGTGACTCCAGGTGTATACATCACACACAAAGCAATAGCACAGTCTAGTGCTTGACACAAATGATCTTAGATAAAAAAATACTGAGTGAAAATTGTGTGGATCAGAGGAGGTGATCATAGGAAAATTAAGAAATTGATATGTGTGAGTAGCCACTTTATTTATTGATTACTCCATAAGAATAAGGCAAAAAGATTAGCTGCCAGGAAATATTATCTTCCAGACCACACTTTAATATTCACTGCATTCAGTTTCACAGCAGCAGAAGTAAGAGTGCACATATGCCCCTGCTCTATCTCAGGGTATTAGTTCATGAATTCAAATAATGAGTGTAATTAGCAGTAAACTTGGGATACTTTCTGTTAGAAAATACTCCCTATACTTTCTTAACTATTCGTTTGCATTTACACAATATGGTAGAAATGTTAGTATTCCCAACTTAAGAATTATCCCTGGAAAATTTAAATTACTCCTATATAGCTTTATTTATGTGGATAAAGTGTCCAGGTAGTGCAACAATTTTATATTTGAGTTCACTCAGTATTTAAATTTTAAACATTAGACGGGTTCTCATAAGTAGTAATGAGTAACCAGAGGCCAGACTACAGAATCATGCATCAGCTTTCATTCAGTCTAACACAGATTGATCTCTGCTTAAATTGAGCGAGAAATTTTCCTGAGCAAATCTTCAGACTTAGGCCTTTTCAGATAAATATGCTCTCTACTGATATAAAAAGGAATTCTTCTCTGTCTGCAAGAAAGCAGGACTTTCTCATTCACATATATGGGAAAGTCTCATTGCATAATAGCCCTGTGCAAATTTAACAGAAGTTCATACTTCAGTCCAAAGAAAAGTAGTGACAGTGATGAGCAGTAGAGCACTAAGTCCTTTCCACAGTGAGAGCTTGGTTACTTACACTACTGTGTGTCAGCCATTGTTTGATCACAGGACTACAGAATGGGCTAAGCTGGAAGGCACCTCTGGAGATCTTCTAGTCCAATTCCCCTGCTCAAAGCAGGGTTACCAAGAGTAGGTACCTAGGACCGTGTCCAGATGGACTTTTAATATCTTCAAGGATAAAGATTCCAAAAACTCTCAGGGCAACCTGCTCAGTGCTCAGTCACCCTCATAGTAAAAAAAACGTGTTTCCTGATGTTGAGAGAACCTCCTGTGTTTCAGTTTGTGCCCATTTCCTCTTTATGAGCCTTCTCTTTTCCAGGTTGAACAGTTGCAGACCTCTCAGCCTCTCTACATAGTTACCATGTTCCAAACCCTTCAGCATCTTCATGGCCCTTTGCTCAACTCGCTCCAGTATGTCTATATCCCCCTGTAGTAGAGATTCCAGGATGGGAGTAAGCACTCCAAATGTGGCCTCCCCAGTGCTGAGGAGTGGAGAGGGATCACACCCTCAACCTGTAGGTGATGTAATGCGGTTCCTGATGTAGTCCTGGAGAGGCTGTTACATTTCCTTACTTCAAAGGTGCATTGTTGGCTCAAGTTCAATTTCTTGTCCACCAGGACCCACAGTTCTTTCTCTGCAAAGCTCCATTCCAACTGATCAACCACCAGGGTATACCAATATATGGGGTTATTTGTCCCTAAGTACAGGCATATACCTTTTTTGTACTTCACTAAGGGGGTTTTTTGCCCATTTCTCCAGGCTGTCAACATTTTTGTGAATGGAAGTCTAGGGTATCAACCAGTTCTTCTGCAAACTTGCTGAAGGTACACTCTGTCCCATCATCCAGGTCATTAATGAAGGTGATAAGCTCTATTGGTCCTGATATCGGCCTCTGGAACATATTACTAGTGATGGGCCTCCACCTGGATTTCAGGCCACTGATCACGACACTTTAAGCACAGCAGTTCAGGCTGTTTTCAACCCACATCACCATACACTTATCTAGTCTGTACTTGATCAGTTATGGAAAACAGTGCTGAAAGCCTTGCTAAAGTCAGGACTGAAAACATCCACCACTTTTCCCTCATCCACCAAGCAATTATCATCATAGAACACTATCATGTCAGTTAAGCATTACTTTTCCTATATAAATCCACACTGACTGCTCCCAATCATCTTCTTTTCCCTTGCATTTGGAAATGACTTCCAGGATGGTGTGCTCCATCACTGTCCCAGGGAGTGAGGTGAAGTCAACTGGCCCATAGTTCCCCAGATCCTCATTTCTACCCTTCTTGATGGCTGTCTTCCAGTTTGTGAGTATATTTGATCTGAATCCAACTCACCATGTCCTGAGGGGTGGGAGAGAGCACAGTCATGCATAAACACCTAATTACCAACCATTCAGAAAGATTCTTGCTAATGCCTTGCTGGGCTGGAACCAACTGTAGAAGTATCTCTACCTATCTGTGAAGATACGCCCTGAATCACTTCAGCAAATCACATACTTGTGTGAGAAAGCAAGCTGCACACTAGGAACCTCAGAATCTGAAGTGCTGGGCTCAGTCTCTCACTTCATTTGGGCATATAAAAGTTAAACACCTAAATATAATCTAGTCACCTGGGAGTCTCTTCAGAGTCAGAAGAAAGAGGCAGATCAGATTTCAGCCCATTGTAAAGGTTCTAGGATAGATCAAGTGAATTCTGTTGTGCAGCTGTTTCTTTCCCCATGTCTAGAAGCCAAAGATAACTGTTTTAGTCTTCAACACCTAACCTGTATACTCCAAAATAAAGCAAGATGATCTGCCTTATCACTTTGTCTTCTTGAATTTTTAGCTAGTTATAGAAATATAGAGGTGAAACATTATCAATAGCAGTTTACAATCCTCAGACATAAGATCATAGATCATCAGTTCTCACTCTTCACACTAAAACAAGATGAAACACATCTACACCATTCTTAAGAGATATTGGTCTAATCTATTCTCAGAAATTTCCATTAGTGGGAAACCCATCCCATGCCTTGGTAGCTTGTTCCTGAGGAATCCTCATAACTAGAAACTCTCCCCTAATCTCAACCATCCTTAGAGAAAAAGAAAGGCGATTAAATTCTTGCACACAATGAACATATGGAGTCACAGATCACTCTCTGTTTCCTATTTTCAACAGCTTTTTACCTCCACTATTTCTCTTCTAGAATACAACTCAAATGTTGTAGCCTTTCATCTTAAATCATATGTTTTAAACTTCTTATTATTTTATTACTCTTATATTACTCTCTCCAATTTATCAGCATCTTAGCATGAAATATCCAGCATTGTCTGCCAAGCTCCAGCTTAAATCTTACTACTGCCCATTTAGCTGAACAATTGGTTGCCATGCCCTCAATATACAATGTGTGTCAGCATATCCCAGAAAAACACTTCCTGTTAATGGTTTAGTATTGTGCTGTTTGGTCAAAAACAGTTGGTACTCAGCCATTTCCTTCTTTTCTGTGTTACCTGTAGTATTTTGCTTTATGCTAGTTCTTAGCAGCGAGTCCTTGTTCTGCCATGCAATGTCTTCCTGATATCCATAACTAAATCACACTGAGACAGAAGAGTTTTGTTCTCCATATCTTTGTCATGCACCCAGACGTGTCACACACAAGGGAAGAGCGTTTGCAACAGAATCATTTTACTTTCAATGCAGCTTTAGCAAAATAATGAGTAAAATTATAGAAATTATACAGTTCAATATATTCTAAACTAGTGATGACAACCTATGAAGCAAAATCTTCCCCAAAACAGTAAGCTTTCCAGTTTCAAGAAGTTACTCAAGTAACCAGGCCAAGTAGAAAGAGTGAAGTAATACAAAATGCTATTGGAGGCAACAATTTAATTGTTTTACATGCTTAATTGCTCATGCGTAAAATATAAACCATGTTAAATTAAAACAAATAACTGAGAAAAAAGAGAGGGAGGCTAAATGTTGAAACACAGATGCATATTGTTAATACATGTTCAGGGTAAGGATATTCAATATCAGGATAGCCATATAACAGAACAGGGAAAGAGAATTATGACCAAATGGAATCATCTTAAACCAGGGCAAAATGTAATTAGCACCACCTCTCTGCAGCAAGAAGTTCCAAAAAAAGAGACCAGAAAGTTGAATGTGCATTTAAAGACAGACACATCAACTTCCACTGAAATGAAAAAAATAAGGCAGAGTTAGAATCCAAACCAAGGATTATTTCTTGGTGTCACTAGTACACATAAGCTAACAAAAAACCCAAAAAAACAGGTTCTCTCACATGCTCAGTGTGAAATGACCAATCAATAAAGAGCATGACTGACACTGAATAATTCAGTCTCAAAGTGAAAACTACATCATAATTTTCTATATCATTTAGTCCAAATATGCAGAAAATGTCACCGTAATCATTATACAGTAAATTGCCAGGGAGTATTTTATGCCTCGGGAAGAGCAGACCTAGAAATGTCATCAAGACATGAAGATTGTATTTATGGAGATTTTCCTTTTTCTAAACTAGGTTTTTCTTCTTTTATTAATATTCCTTTGGCTGTAAATTATATTTACTTATGTATTCTAGTAATTAAATCTTATCAGACAAGAAAATATGTTTTTATTTGGCAGGGAGGAAACAAAGAAAGCAAGGGGTATCTTTTCCCTTCAATAACTGCATTTGACACAGTGAATCAAAGCAAAGACTGAAGCTCAATAGTCTATAGGCTTCATACTACAGAGAGTGGAAAAAGTTACTGCAGCCTTAAAAGGAATCAGTTTCTGTAGGATCTCCCCAAAAAATGCATTTACATGAATCTTATGTATTTATTGCAGATGTATGGATATCAAGACTTGGCATAGTTAATTTGTCCATGGGCCTCTGTACAGAAATATTTCACAGGTTTCACTCACCACCTCCTCACTTCAGTGTCAAAAAGGCACAAAGAAGAAACTGAGAGGTTCAGGTGATACAGATATCTAAATTCAAGAATACTCAGCTCCACACATCTTTCTTCAAGCCAGATTTTTCAGTTTAATTATTCGTCAAAAAACTTAGCTGTACAAAAGTGGATCTGATACTAATGGGCTAAACTGGAATGCTTACAACACTTGTGCAAGTAAAATAATTTGTTGCCTCAGGTTTCAGGCAAATCCATAGCTAAAGTAGATTCACAAACAGCAGTAGTGACCAACATTGATTTTCATAACCTTCAGGTGCCCAGAAAGCTTCATTATTTTCTCCAGTGTAGGTTTTTCAGGACTCAACCTATTCTTTTACTTTAGCTTCAGACTAAACTGTAGAAGACCTAAACCAAAGACCACTTGACAGTTAAAGCTCCTTTAGAGTGCAGTTCTCCAAATTCTGACTAGTACAAATTCCTACAGGTATATAACATCTGCTCTGATGTCAGAATACCATGTCCTTGATTTGTGAGAGCAAGTCACACACTGGGCACTATGTTCAAAGACTCAAAACCCTGGAATCTGCACTCTGAAAGAGCATCATTTCTTATTGCCCAGAATACCTTGAAAATCACCCTGGAGTCTCATTCTGCTGGCATGACTGCTATGCTCCCTTCTCTGCCGATGTCAAAGAACATGAAACAAAATGCCTGTATTGCATTTCAGCTGTCTGTAGCCACCTTACATGTTTCTGTTCATCTCTATGTGCCTTCTTTTTCCTCCTATCTCTTTCCACCTTCATCGTTTTGCTGCTATACATTTTTGGTCTAATTTATCCCACTAAATATTATTAGTGTTATAACAATGGAGGAAAAAAGTGTCAAAATTCATGTTTTGAGTTACAGGTGAAGTAGTGAAAAGGAGTAACCTCTATATTGTCTTAATTGCATTTGTCTGTTTACCCATACCTACCCTTGCATATACTGCTGTTTTACTCTGCTTTTAGAAACAAGATATTGGGAACCAACGTTCAGCATGCATTCAGGACCAAATCCAGAAATAAATATAAATGAGTCTGACATAACATTTTTCTACCTAATTCTTCTTGTGCATATGTGAACCACTTCCACAGCTTGTCTCACTAGAAGAATGCAACAATTACAGATGCTCCCTCTGGAAAGAGTTTAAGGTCCAAATTTATTGAGGGTAAGGAACATGTACACAAGTGACTATCAAAAGACAAATTTTTCTCTGACAAATAAACAATTCAAGAAGGAATGAACAATGTTATTGTCTTGTATTTTATTTAGTGAATCAGGACTTTATAAATATTTAGGCTAAATTTGAAAACCTG